AAGGGAGGGGACGGCTGCCTCCCAGGGCCCGCGTCTCACTGTAGAAGGTTTGACCAGGAAGAGCCAGGCCTCCCCCCAGAGCAGGGACCACAGATCCCCCCAGGTCAGACCAGAGCGCTGCCTTCCTTCCAGCAAGTTCTTCCTCAACCCGAGGGGCGGGCCCAGCACCTTCCTGGGAGGGGGGGGTGCTGGGCCCTGGGGCAGCTTCGGGGCACCTGCTCCTGCTGGGCAGCACCCCCTCTTCTGAGGGCGCCAATGACCGTTGCCCCCTGGTTCCCCCCACCCCCATCCTAGGAGGGCAACAGCTTCTGCTGTTATAACTGTTTCTGTTTTTAAATATATTTTTCTTGGTTTCAGAGAGGAAGGGAGAGGGAGAGAGAAACATCAGTGATGAGAGAGAATCATGGACCAGCTGCCTCCCGCACACCCCCCACTGGGAATGGAGCCCGCAACCCGGGCCTGTGCCCTGACCGGGAATGGAACCCAGGACCCTTCAGTCCGCAGGCGGAGGCTCTAGCCACTGGGCCACACTGGCTGGGACAGGAGTCCTCGCTCCGAGGACGAATCGAGGCCACTTTGCAAAACCGAATCTGAGCGCAGTTCTGATGTGTCAATGGCCACTCACCGCCCGGGTGCTGACTGCGCACCAGCCGGGGACGGACACGCACCAGCCAGGGACGGACACGCACCAGCCGGGGACATGCCAAAGTGAGAGCTGGTGTGTTTCTCTGGCCTGGGCACCAGTAGACCTGATTCTGGTTCTGATGATGCAGCAGGAGCGTGGAGTGGTTACAAATGTGTCTTTAGGGTCACACTATGGGTTTGATATCCGGGTGTGCCTTTTACAGCTCTTTGCTTCTCTGAGGCTCCTTTTCCTCATTTTAGAAAATGGGGGTGATACTAGTATGCTCTTTGTAAGTAGCTGTGAAGAACAGGACTTAGTCCTGTGCTTGGCAAATAGTAAGTGCTGAATAAATATTAGTGATGATGATGAGGATGATGTTGATGATGATGTTGATGATGATATTGATGGT